CGCTCTTGACGCAATTAAAGATTTGCAGGTTTCTATGACGCATCACTATCCATTTAAGAAGTTTAGCCACCCGTGGAAGTGGAAATAAAAGGCAATTTTGCTCATATTCGCCAAACATTCACTAACGATGTAGGTGAAGGTGACAATGCGATTATGCCCTTTGGAGTAAGGCATTCCTGTTGGTACAAGTTACTATAGTGTATGTGAAGTATGACATCCGCCTTCGCTCTCTCCTGTATTTACGAATTTTTCTTTTCCATTATGTTGCTTCGATAATGCTTCTGAAAATAGCTGATCAAATTCGGTTCTTCTCTGAAAACTTTATACTGAAAAGAATAAGTGGATATTGTCAAGCCAACAAAGTCTTATTACCAATTTTCCCGATGCGAGTAATCTGTCATGAGGGTGGGATAGCGAGACCACCTACGCCCATTGTATAATCAGATATACTTTGAAGGTTTTGTCTACTACATCGCCAACTAGGCCACTGTCGACTCCACTATCGCTACCGTCGGGGCTAACAGTTACTATTCCATTAAAGTTCTTATTTTCGGTCTTATGTCATCACTTAATGCATTTAACTACTTACTGAATTTCATAAGATACAAAGCAGCAGCCATCAAAATGTCTTTTACCTACCACACTAGCCCTTCAAAATTCTGCACTTGTCTGTATTGACTTTCTGTTAAAGATAAGAGTGCAGAATTTTGTTCATTAAGCTAAGCTTAACTTTCTAAGCGCATTTTATTCGGCTAATCAATTTAAATACGTTCTTGAAAGCCAATACTCTAAAAAATTGCGAAAAGATAATACCTGGGGAAGTTAGGTCAATTATGCCAAAAAAGATCCAACTAGGGAACCTCCAATGTATTTACCGAATTTAATGAGGCCAATTTCATCGAACACTTTACCAGTTTAAGCAACAAAGTTTCTCACCTGTTTAACCAAGTACCCTCATTTTAGTATCCCAAGTCGCCGTGGCTGGGACCCGGGTCTTTACACCATATTTTCCATGAAGGTGGCGAATGTTTACCATTAATCCCCACTTGACTAAATAAATTGGCTACGAAGGCATAAAACTAAAAAAACAGGTTTCGATCGCAAGCAGTGCATTTCGTGTCCGACATTATCTCACTAATCCACTTTAACAAGTCAACTTTAGCATATCTCCTTGACGGTTACTGTCAGTAAGCGTCAAATTATTGGTAGTACCTTTAAGACGTATATGCTTAATACAAGCAGTAAGATCTACGACACTGCTTTCTGTAACATATTGTCAGTGTTCTAATGTCTCTAGGACGCTTCCTCTTGAAACACGACCCATATTTCTAATCAGAGTTGGCATTTAAGCCGTCAAAACTGAAAGGAAACTTTAAACTTGACTGCAGTCAAGTGCATCATAGCAAATCGAAAGGATTTTAAAATGCTCTCTTGGCGCTAACCAATTGGTTTAATATCGGATTATCTGTTGAGAATAACTGAAAATATAGAAGATGAAAGTGCAATTGAAAAGAAAAAAGTCTTCTGGTATGCCTACCAGCAGTAAAATACAAACTAATGGATCTTAGGAAGAACGGGCTGATCATTTCAATTATTTGCTCAAAAATGGAAGGCCTCTTATTATGAGACAGGGGAGCACACAGCATCCGAGGTAGCCAATGGCACTTCTTAACCGGTTGATTGGGGAAGCACATGTAGAAATCCACCAATCGCATTATCATATTTTGAGCACAGGGTACGCCGTTTGATAATATAAAGAGGTAAATGCAACAGACGACCACCGGTTTCATCCAGAAGGCGCAAACAATTCCTATTATCAGTAAAATTACATATAACTTTAGTTTTTTTCTGTCATTGCAGATGTCATTCCATCAGCACCGTCAATACTTTCAGTACCATGAAAATGGCACTCCTCTGAAGGAGTCTGCTACCCATTCTTTCTTAACTACCAATTACTTAAGTTCGTCGTCTTCTTCTTCGTGGCAATCATCATCACTGTCCACCAATTGTGGTACGTTGTCCGCAGAACCTCTCGATTTGCGAATCAATGACAAATGCAGGCATAGAGATGGGTCAGGAGTTAATTCTTCAGCTATCCTCCTCCTTAACCTATTTAAAGCGAATGCACTCTTCGGCGGCTTAATAAAGCGATTTAAGGAGGAAGCCATCAATCGTGATGTGTCGTCCGAGGAGTCGTCCGATGAGTCTGAAAGTATTCCATCCGTAATCAGCTTCGAGAAGAAAAGAGGAAAAGAGGGTGGCGGCAAAGCGGCTCAAATCCACTATCGTCCGGAAAAACTTGGATCACGCGAAATGGTTCAAGTAGGTTTGTGCATTTTTTCACCGGTTGCATCGTTTTTTCTGTAGGAAATGTTGCGAAACAAGGATCCTGAATTGAGATACATCAACGATGGAGAGGCTATTATGAATCCCTTCGCAGTCGATCGGAAGACACAATTAGCAGACCTCATGAAGATGTTCTGTAGGTTTGTACAGTTTAGCAAATCGTTGACTTCTCTGCCAACATTATGACATTTTGTTTGGTGTCATGCGTTGATAGGTAGGGAGAAGGCCAGTGGTGGTTACAAGTGTGAAGCGTGTGGCCGTGAGAGACAGCTGATTCGGGAAATGCAACAACATCTTCTTTGCCACAGTAACAGCAAGTTTTACCTGTGTGTGCGATGTTTGAAGGGATTCAACGACACCTTTGACATGAAGCGCCACACCCGCAAACATACGAGTGAGTACTTTCATATCTGTTTTCATCAACCTCATTATTTCCACTCTTTTCCATGACCTCCCATTCATCTTCCTTATATTTAACGTTTTCTCCTTCTATGTATGCTACTGCTTTACTGCTGACGCTGCTTCGCCATCACAATGTCGCACAATGCGTTGCGACACAATGGATTGGATTGGACGTTATGGAACGGGATTGCTGGGTTAGTGGTGCGTCCATACGTATGTCCGCAATGCCCAAGCAGATTCAGTCAGCGCTGTTCGCTAGAGGGTCATCTTAAGCGGGTGCATGCGATGCAGTTACACTTCGCTCGTCACCAGCGTCGTGAGGTGCTGCGTGTGTGCGAGTGTTGTGGATTTACATGTGATCACTACGCACAACTACTTGCTCACACAGAATATCACCATCCCTCAAACCAGGATGCCATCAATCGACTGCGTAAACGTATAATCGCTGCCAAAAGGAATGGTGTCTGATTTGCACAATTTTGCAAATCAAAAGCTCAAGGTTCTTCTACTACCTCGACCAAACCGCGAGAAAATTAATTGCGAAGCAGAAGTTCATTTAAGGAATGTCCTTTTTTTAAAATATCAAATAATTATTTTGTATAAACAGATTCATAAGAAAACGTTTATCAAGAATATACATGTTTTGATTTTTTTTGTGTACTAGGCAAGTTAGAATGAATCGGATTTTTTTGCATCCAAAGAAAGCTTTCCATATTTCCAATTACTGCATAATTATTTGTTGATAAGAATTATATTTTCAAGTCCTTTAATCATTGTTGATGTTGCTTGCGCATTTCCTGTCAGAAATTCCCTGCCAAGTTTATCGTAAGCAATGCTGATGCAGCACTAATCAGTTTCATATAGTGGATCTATGTCACCTTAGCTACGAGTCCTGGGAGGACGATAGATGGGACTATGGCTCAGCTGAGGTTCCCCTTTGTAAATTTTACGCACGTGAGTGAATCCCAATAATGTTCAGAGAGAGCGTGACATTCAGAATGTGATGACGTATCGCGGTTACCCCGTCTGGAGCACATTGACACTTAACATTCGTAGTGAGATTCCCTTCACGCTCTTTTGCCAATGATGGGGAGGTGAGAGGGTGGGGGTTAAAAACATCTGCATATCCCTCTCTTAATATCGTGGTTATGCCCTGGCTATACTATAATAATTACCCCTCTGCTATTGATAACAAGGTCATCGGCCCATATTCGATGACATAATGAGACGCAGGTAGACTTCTGTACCAAAGTCCTGCTCATTTCTGTAGTGTCGTGGTTCTTCTTCCTCTCTACCATTATTACTATTTGACTTTCGTATCTTTGATGAGTAAAGTTTAGCATGTCAAGGTGTCCTGTAGCTTGCTGATGGTATCCTCCAAGCTTTGATAATCACAAGGAATGCGAGCCAAAGAACTTGATAACACGTGAGAAGATAACGTAAGTATCACAACAAACGAGCTTTCCTCTTTGTCTGAACTTCGTTTAGACAATTCTTGCTTTCTACTGTTTGCAATTAGCTCGACCATACTCTTTAATGTATTTTAAACAATTTTTTATTCTACTTTAAAACTAAGGTGTCCAACACTATTCTGTTTAGACACGGCGCTACCAAACTAAGACAAATTCAAAAAAGTGCTTTTGACTAATGCCAATTCGTCAGTTTACCCATTCCCATGTTGAAGCTAAGAAAGGAGAAACGTTGACTTGATGTCCAGTGGGTCTTTTGCTATCCACCATCATCCTTTTATGACACATCTTAGAGAACCGCCGCCATACGTGGCACCCAAAGAAGAACATGAAAATGAAGCTGTCACGACAGAACTTTACCGATGGAAGTGGCGGAAGAGTGATGCTTACCAGTAGCATGAGAGTGCCATAGCCATCAACCATAGTAACATCTTTATTACTGTGTCATGACAGGGTGGCATGGAACTACGGCTAACTGGATGAAAAGGGTACACCCGGCACCCTTGAGTCTCGAGCATACCAGTCAATTACTAAAACGCAGTTTAATCACTTTGGCTTGTGTATAACTCGAGTGTTTGTGTGGTCTTCTTTACGGCATAAAAGAGGAAGAGTGCCTTTTTACGGGTCCAAAAGACTTCGCATTGATCAGACCGTATTTGCGAGAGCATTGCCATAGGTGAAGTAGAGATCTTGATCCTGCTCTCCAGATCTAAATATGCGCAAGAAGACAGGTTTCCTTACCATCTATCTTTCGTCTCCCTGCTTGATTGTGCCGATGGCATTAACTACTCAAGGTTATCCGTTTGTAGACCACACAGAAATCTTCACAGCAGAAGTGATCTCCCCTAACTAGGCAATATTTGGTAAACAAGACTTGATGCAATCGTTGCAGGACTATTCTACTAGGGACATTTATTTCATGCCGAAGTTTGTAGTGGCTTTAAATCCTTGCTACCAAAACTTACTACTACGTCAGATGTTCAACAACAGGTGTAACAGCCCGTGGAGCCTTCCAAATATTCCCGCTTTTTATACTTGGTAAATAAAACCAAGTACTCTCGTCATCTCCTTATAATAATAATAATAATAATACAGAGGCTATATGTCTTAGAGGAATGCTTCGTCCGTCAAAGCAAAAATGCGAGGTTACCGTCAGTGATAAATGGCAATCTTCACCGACAGACGTCACCTTGGAATGCTAATGAAAATAAATACGGCATTTCTGCTCTTCTTTGCTCTTCCTCTCCTGTTTGATTGCTCGCATGCTTAAAGGCCTGAAGAAGGTATTGTGAGGGTCACATTTGGCAATAAATTTATCAGGCACACTAAAATCGTTGAAATCAATTGTGATGTGGTCAATAAAGGGTTGGAAATTATTGTACGAGCCTTGATTTACTATTGGAAGGTGAAGAAGATCAAGGCCAAGAAATGCCCCTCGCGATCACGGCTTGCCTGAAATGGATACGAAAATATAGTAGGTTTTTGACACAAATGTATTACAGTCCCGTTCTTTGATTCTACCGAGTTGAAATACGTCAGCCCTTAACATCCTGCTTACCATATTTGTATGGATGTTCAACAATTTATGACTTTTGCCAGAAATAAGAATATTAAGGGCGCCTTTATTTTTAACATAACTTCGGCTAAATGACTGTGATCGCGACATTGCAGATTAAAAATCAGTAATTATACGGTTTGACACCTTGTGATATGAATCAGGGTTGGAGTCACCAGGGCCCAGCGGTCGGGTTGTAACCTCCATTTCCAAAGCCACAGTTCAAAAACTGTGACCGCATGTTAGCCTTGTCGCCGGGGTTTTATATCAATATCGAGTTACGCGAATCGACGGATGCTAGATGTTAGATGAAGTTCTTTTGGCAAATCGACACAAAAGACTTTCTGATCAAGCAGGGAGAGGTAACTTTAATTCCACCTAATCATCTTTACCTCTTTTCGATGAGGCAGAAATGGAAAACTGGTGCCGCTGATTGATTGCTGCCGGTGCATAAGTGAGCATGCCTAGATGATTCTAAATTCACAATTAG